AAAATGAGAGAAACGTTGTCCTAAGAACGATGTACTCTTTGCTCTTGATTGGGTAACATTGACCCAGTTTGACTCTAAAAGGACTCATTAGTGCTACGTCTGGTCTCTACCAAGTGATTGATAATTCACAATTACAATTTGTGATTCGTAATTTGTCACAACAAAGTGATTCACAACATCACAATTTGAACTACTAATTTATTTGAGTGTCGGCTCTAGAGGGGTCTAGAATTTAGGAAAACTTGATAGTGAATAAAATGAATACAGGGAATAAAATGAAGGTTGACATCACGGACGAGCTTTAATTAGTACCCAGGTCAGTTCGTGTACAAGGTAAAGAAATTAGATGAATTTGATACACTAGCTGCTTCACCGTTAATGTAGGGTCACTTTATTGATGGCATGTGTACATTGTGATCTTTGTGAAAACCAGACAATTTTTTTAAATTTGGGCATGAAATTTATTAATAATCAAAGGAACTAAAAACCTGTGTCCACCAAATAATAGTATTCACCTGTGACCCTAAAAATAACTCTTTTTTATTTCATTATTTGTAAATTGGAAGCGACACAAAAAAATACATACCATTGGCCATCTGTTTAAAATGAGATTTTTGATTCGTTCTTCGTTGAGAAACGGCAAATGAATTTAATGAATTACTTTTTTAATCAAAACTCATAACAGGAATTAGAATTTCTTGCTGTTTAAACAACGTGGATAATCTCCATTTAAATATATGTGTTCATTTAACTCTTGACAACAATTTAAATATATGTGTTCATTTAACTCTTGGCAACAACAGAAATCATACTCTTAATATCATGTTGTTCCTATAACAGAAATAACCGCTGCTATGTTGGAGCTCGTTTCACATTTAATTTAAGCTCTGAACGATTGTTAAAGACCATCGATATGCGAGGAGCGAATTGAGGTTTTGAAACCCGTAGCAATTTGTGAAGATTCTGGTCAAAATCAGAGAAGTGTTCAGATTTGCTGTGCACAACATGATTGGATGATTGGAGCAGTGGGTTACAGGTTCGAGATCCAGTTATCTGTTAAAATTGTCGCTAATCGATGACAGGCTAAACCTAATCTCTTAAACTCCACTATCTTTTGGCTCACATAATAATGAATAATATTTCGCTTACATCGTAAAGCTCCATGATCACGTTATTTAACTTCCTATGTAAACTTCTACACGGATGTTAAAAATTTAATTTATGATAGAAAGCTTGTTCAATGAAGAGTTTCTATTTAAGCAAAGGCAACTGGTGAAATATCAAGCTATCAACTACGAAAATGTTCAAAATTTGTCCAAAAATCTTTAATAAGACCGCTCCGAGAAAATTAAGGCCAAAGTTTGTCACAACTTTTAAATTTGAGCCGAAATTTTAAAGCAAACTTATATGTACTGCGTGCGTAATGTGGTCAAATCTAAACGAAACTTTACTAATTAATAACAAAGATAGAAATGGTGTCTCTTACATTGCAACTAACCTCGTTCAACAATATCGTTCTGAAGGAACATGGGTTTACTTTTAAACTGAATAATATTTAAGCCTTTCGGCTAAAAACAAAAGAAAAATATAAAACTTTTTAATCATGTATATGCCAACTGTTGGCCTAAGCCACCAGGCCTTTAGATGCGAATAGCACAGGATTGGAATTTTCCCATACATGAAGGCTTGAAACTATATATTTAGCTAAAAATGGTATCTTTCATATAAGCCCGACGTAAAAATTGTTCAATAGCCTGAAAATGGACTTCACTAGAAATAGAAAACAACTTCAACTGGTCATATACTGAACAACCAAGATCACGTCATTTAAAAAAAATGTCTATATGTCTCTTCTCTTTATAAATGGTTTTATTTGTTCGAGTTTGCTATAAAACTCCTCGTATAATTTTAAAGGAATCCATTAAATATTGCGTTACCACTGCAGCAACGTGAACATCAAGAGATTTGCAACATCAAATAATTCCCGAATGTTAAGGGAGTAGGCCTGCTAGAGCAGGCCTACTCGTTGCAAGATTTTGGAGCGTCATTATTAGGTGGCTATTACTATTACACGAGCTAATTACTAAGCTACTGGCCTAAACTAAATGTGAACTAAAGTAATTACCGATCTACTGGCCGCTTGTAAATGGTTGCTTGGTCTTACCAGGGCCAGCAGTGTCAATACACGAGGCCAATAGCACGGTAAATAGTGGCGGTTAGTACTAGAATGTTGTACTGGCCGCGAATACTGTCCCCGTGTACAAGCACAAGTAAGTAGCACATCATGAAGAAACGTAGTGGAATCCTTCTAGTCATAGCACGCATTATAATTCTAGTGAACATTGCGTCAGGCAAGAAGTAAATATACTCGTAAAAGTACAGCAAATTTAATTATTTAATAACAGAGAAAGTTCAAATTACCTTGTTAATCTTACCTGCAATTTAAGAACCTTATTACTTTGAATACTTTCCTCAAGAATTAATTTAATTTGGAATTGAAGCAGAGGAAGCAATCAGTTCAAACCCACATACACGAAACTCTTATTCAACAAGCTTAGAAATTTAACGGGAACTTGAGTTCTTATATTCTGAATACAATTTAGACCTATCACACTACGTAAAACCACTGTTATATTTTGTGTCTTAGCTCTCCTTCTCACTGTTTTTCAATATCTCATTAACAATGTATTTTTATTTCCAGTCGATAATATGATAAGTTCGTTGATAAGCAGTTACGCACCCCAACAGACCTATATATACTGGGCTCACAACACACTTTGATAAATACACTAAAAAATATAAGATTGAGCACCATATTCAGTAGGTGGGATAGAGAATAATCTTCTACGGTATAGAATCCGGCCTCTTGACCAGGAGCAATAGCTAAACAATATGTTTCTCGTACCAGATATCGTACACACGTTACTCGTGCTCAGTAATGACAGTCTTCATGTTTTTTTTTCATTGTGTATATATATTTTAACAAAATATTGTTTTATTTATCACAAATAATTCTTTATCAGTTAAAATTGTGGAAGCACTGGAAGCGGGTCCATGCAGCCCTCGACAAGACCGGCTGTACTTGCGGTCCACGGTCTTCAGCCCGGTATTATCGACAAAAGAAAAATAGAACGAGTTGTGCGGACTCCAAATTTAACGTATTATTAATGTCTGCCGACTTCAACAAAATGTCATTCAGATTTTTATTGAAACTAAAATATTTTTAAAAGAGAGCATGGAGGATACAATCGTTAACAAAAGCAGTGGAACACTTCGACAGCATTTTAAACTAGCGGAAAATATCGACTTTTTGGCCCTTCTAAACCCGTAATTTGTAGTGTTTAGTGCCAATAATAAACCAATTTCTTAAGCGTCTGCACGACAAGCCGATTCATGAAAATGAATAATTTTTAAATTTACATTAAATTGAACCTGAAATTTCATCGTCTTACGGAAATAGGTTCAAACACTGTTTTGTATGACTTGACGGTTGCCAAAATGTGACGTACGAAAAAATTTTCTTAATTTTACGAGTGAATAAAAATTACGTTGCGCATGGAGGAAATGCTTCACAAGTTCGAGGAAAATAAAAGTCTAATGGAATGACAGAAATTTAATAACACAGAGTGCAAATGTGTACACAAAGTCGTTCACATAGTACAGCTGTGTGACCTAAGCGCTGTGTTGTGAAGAGAACACGATTTAGATTCACACATATTACACGACCTAAAATAATGAGCTAGTCTAGTTTCAGATTAGCTCCCATAAATTATACTCAATTTCAAAATGGAAATTTTTAGAAACCAGGGGGAAAACGTCACATGAATGACGTATTAGTGTGCAGGATGAGTGACGTAAAAGTTATCCTTCAAAATTTCATCCTTTCGTCATCCTTCAAAATTTCATCCGTTCGTCATCCTTTCATCACCCTTAATTAATTCATCCTTTCGAATGAAAAACTAAAAGAATTAATAAACGGTAGGAACCATGTTTAACTCTAAGAAAAAACGCTGATGTCAGCGTTCGCCATAGGAATAAGGTTACCCGAGGTTAATAAGGTTAAGCAAGCTGGCTTCGCAACCTTAGAGGGTAGAGGTTAACTCTAATGATATTTAGTTGTCTGCGGTAACAGGCTTTGGTATATCGCTTATTGCAAAAATTATAAAACTTTTATGTGCAACTCAAGGCAAAAGTGATATAACTTTCGTGTACAACTTAAGGCAAAAGTTATACAACTTTAGCGTTACACTGAAAGCAAAAGCTATACAGTTGTTCATCGTCGATAAGAATCATCAGCTTAAGATCATGGAAGTGTGAAACCGAAAATTAATTTCACCGAATATAAAGCCGAAACGCATTATTATTATTATTATTATTATTATTATTATTATTATTATTATTATTATTATTATTAAAAATGAGTTAGTTCCATCATTACAATTTTATGACGAGTATGCAGATGATAGTAGGGAGATTTATAATTTTAGTTAATATTTTTACAATTTGTGTCAGTTAAATACCTCGGTTTTTCGTCATTAAGAGGCAATATTACCGAAAATATACGATTTCATAATATATATTCCATAGACATTATGTACAGAAAAGATTAATATATTATAATTAGACCTAGAGCGACCCAACATCTATTATAAGAAGACGCGCACGTAAGAAGCTTCGCTCCTTCAGTAGCACACACGACGTCGCTGCGCATTAAACTTTAAAAACTTTAAAGTTACATGAATAAATTGCATTCATTATATAAAGAAATATAAATAAATTGCATTCATTTTACATCTGTAATGTTATGTTCATTTTATATCTTTAGCGCTCTGTAATGTAGCTATTCTACTTAACGGGCTAACTGTATTTTGCTCATGGAGTAAACCGTATTTTACTTACCGGACACATAGCAAATTTGTTACATTTAATTGGCAATAAAGAGCAAGCATTTTAATAGCTATCAAAAAAAAAAATTCCTCAAATCAAAGGGAGTTTCTTTCCTGAAATTAAAATTCTAATCCAATATTCTTCTAATCCATTAACATCATCATTATATAATTTTGTCTTACACGGCAGCAACGAGTACAAGTTTGAATGTTAAAGAAATGAAGATAACGAAGCGTACGGAAAATCACAGGTTACAAGTAGGGATCAAGTGAGACTAAGAAATAAAAATGACACACGAAGTGTCCGTTAAAACTATGACACAAAAATGACTTAGTTAACACAACACGCAACACAAAAGTCGTCATTGTAAACTATCGGGGGTAAATAAATGAAACTAATGCTAATTTTTGTAAGTTGCCTAAAAATCGCCGTTGCCGATACGGTAAAAGCAACTGAATTGATATTGAAGTTTTCTTAATGGGATCTGGGGCTAATTACCCGTATAACATTTGTAGACTATTTGTATGAGTGTAGACCATTGGTATGAATGTAGACCATTTGTATGAATGTAGATCATTTGTATGAATGTAGATCATTTGTATGAATGTAGACCATTTGTATGGTACAAATGGATTGATGTCTATCGTAAATATTTTGCCAAGAGCTCGACAAGAAGGTAGTAAGTCAATTATCTTAACAACACAGATGGAATAAGAATGAAGTTAAAAGAATATCATTGTAAATATTCCGTGAAGAGACGGACAAGAATATGACACGGGCATGATATTAATATGAGAAATATAATGGGAACAAATGGCATGACATAGAATAGCGGAGCGAGATTAGAGATCCAGTAAATGCTGATCAATTGTTATTCTGGCTGCAATAAACCTGTTGCTCGTTCAAGTCATCTACAGTAACAACATCTGGGACCTGTCACGCAAATTCAACACACTACAATTCTTTCAAAACCTCACCATATCTTGAAAACTATATCTTCGTTTCAACAAAACAACGCAACTTTAACACCTCATCACAGTTTCAACAGCTCACCATTCTTCACCACCATTTCAACAGCTCACCACGGTTTCAACAGCTCACCATTCTTTACCACCGTTTCAACAGCTCACCATACTTCACCACCGATTCAACACCTAGAGCAGCTCAACAGTACACAAGGCGATCGTTTATTTACGTCTTCAGTTAGTAATTTTGGAGGAAAACTAGAAGGAGTATTGACTGGTGTTCTTACAGGCATGGAAATAGCGCACACCTGCAAAAGGCCAACAAGGTACAAGAGAAAATGGTACACCAACGGCGAAAAATAATAAGAAGAAAATCTCGTCCACAAAAATTAATTTCTCAGAGTGAACATTATTTTGAAGTAAATGTCTATGGAATACATTACTTGTTCATTATTTAGCAATACCATTCATAAGATAAATAACCAAGGGCTCTATAGTTTCCCCTCAAATCTAACCCAGTCTTCAGCCTCAAAAATATAAAAAGGAAAAAATGTTTTGCGTTGCGTGAGCTTCACACCAACACCTACTTATCCTGAAGCCAAGAAGATAGCAGGGAAAATGACGAGAACAATAATAATAATAGTGACACTAGTGACTAAAAGACACCACAACAACAATATTAGTGTTAATAACTACAAGAACGAGCGTGTAAGTCATCCACCTCAACCCAAACTCTGGTGCGCGTGCGTATCAAAACGCTGGTTCTGTAATATACTGTGCAGAGGCAAGGTAAAAAGCCTGTAGTAAGTTTCATGTGGGAATTAAAGTATATCATGTAGTCGACATTAGTGAAGAAACGTCAGAGACCTAGAGTTAATTTATCCATAGGTATTCTATAAGAAATTCCAAGACTAAATCCGTAATTTCATTAAGATGTATTAAATGGAATATTTTAGCTCGAGTTTATAAATAAAAAGTCCGCAATATTAGTGGAGTGGCCAAAGGTAAGAACTTCACTTCCAGAAGGATTTGGTCTAGAACGTAAAAAGTAATTAGAAATCTTAGATGCATACACATATCGAAGAAAAAGCGAGATATTTACCTACCCCACATTGAAAGTAGACCGGCAAACCAGCAGACCAGAAAAGGTTAGTACGGGATTATTGATCCAATATTGTCTTCAAAATTTATGAGCTGAGACTGGCACTGTTCAAAAAAAAAAAAAAACGGTCGGACTAGCGTTTTAGTGGGTGGCCTCCCCGTGAAATTAAACGAGGCCGCCGTTTTTTGGGACTTAGCATATGAACCACGAAGCATCGTGTTCGAATTATACGGCACAGCCAGCCAATGAATCGCCGGTCAAACCGTTTCCCCGCAGTTTTTTTTTCGAACAATGTGCGTGAGTCCCCGAAGCGTGATCACATTGTCCCTCTCAGGCAAAGGTACACAGCAGCGACCTCAACCTCATCTCCTGCCTCAACTCGCGCTTGTTCCAGATGAAGCATTTCTTGAAGATAATACATGATTTTAACATCACAAACGAGCGCAACTTTATTATCATTTATAATCCAAGTTCTCTTACTTGTTTTTAGAAACATTGATGCAAAAAAAACGTTGGCAGCTTCCGTATACACCGGAATCGATTTCAGAGTTACCTTTATTAATAGAGTTACTTTAAATATACGAGCTACCATGAGTACCAATTACTGGCCAATCTAATCAGGAGACAGGAGATGAGAGTTGGAAGTTCGGCTCACACATGCCCATCAAATCACAGGCAATGTACCAAGTCGCAGTCTTTGCCTATCATGCGAGGCTGTGCCGAAGACAAAATCGCCTGGCCTTTGCCTGTCACGAAAGACTCGACTGAAGACAAAGGCTTCTTTTGTAGTGATTTGTGCTGACTTTTGAGGGGGACTTCGCTAGCATCGAAACCAAAATTGTCGAGGCCTTGCATGACGTTGAAACGCTTCTGGTCACAGGGCTCAACAATTTTACTTCGAATTGCCCCGGTTTGCTCACTTGTGTAGCTCATAGTTTTCTTCTTGCACGGCTCGGCAGAAACATTGGAGCCTCTACCAAGGCCTTCACAACTCGCAATTGAATTTAAATCCCGACTTCCCCTTTCATAAGCTCTGCCGATCCGACATCCTTCGTCTAATTTATGCATCTCAGACACAAGAGCTTTGACTTCGTTGAGGACTTTTGTCTCGTTGGTGGTGTTAATAATCCCGAAAATTTGATTGTCGCTGCGTCCGATGCCTGTAACGTTGTTGTCGTTGTTGGAGGTGTTGGTGAGAGGGCCTGGATGATCAAGAGCATGCAGGCCAGAGACGGTGCTGACAGACGCCGCGGTCCCAGTCTGGTCCCCAACAGAGGATCACTTCGTGTAGGGGGTGTTCTGGTTGATGTTCAAGTGGTTCGTGGTCCTGGTCAGGGAAATAAATTGCTTTTACTTCAAGGAATCCTGAACCAAATTGAGAGTCCTTCCCTATCGAGTAAGTGATACGTAACTAAAGACTTATTAATGGCTAACCTCACCACGAGACGAGAGTCCAGCATGTCCAGCAAATCAAAAGCAGTTATTTTCTTACTTGCAGTGAGCAAAACATATGTAGTAACTTGTAAAGTCCGATTAGGAAACTGACAGAAACCAACAATATCTGAATGATGTATCTTTATTTCTCCGAACTCAACATTTATGACCCGGAGAATCCAACCTACACCGAATTGGACGAGCGTCTTGAAGTGCAAGACGAAGTGCACATAATCTTCGGTTAACTCGACACGAACTTGACGTGTATGACCTCACCTCTCGCCGAACTTGACGTGTATGACCTCACCTCTCGCCGAACTTGACGTGTATGACCTCACCTCTCGCCGAACTTGACGTGTATGACGAGGAAGACGACGCCAAGCAGGAAGCAGACGCAGCCAGCGGTGATGTAGGCGATGCCCAGGAAGTTGTTCTTGCCCCCCAGGAAGGAGGTGGTCGACAGGATCATGCGCTTACGCCCCCCGAACGTGTGCACGGGGTAGTTGTAGTCAACATGCAGCGTGTACAGGCCCTGCACACAATAAAAGTTGTTAATAAACGTGTTCAAACTAACATTTAATGAGATCTACGTTAAAATATACATCCTGCAAGGAAATACTCATTACAAAATTTTTCTTAATGCCATATACATTATATTAAAATAGCAATTGGCGAGCAAAGCAATCAAAACAGAACAGAGATGCAATGCCTGAAAATAAAGTCCCAAATACAGTGAAATTATTGTCGAACTTTTACGACTTCTCGGGAATATTTTCTTAGGAAGCCAGGTACCTACTTATATTTATTATCTAATTCTTGCGACCTTTTCTTAGTTCTACTTACTCGACGTGACTGTTTAAATGCCACATTTTCAGTAAAACTGGGATGAAACCATTAATATTACTGAAGAAAGTACCTATGCCACAAGACATCAAGGCAACAAACGTAAATGATGAAGCACAAGTACATAGACGTAAACATGCGTGTATAAATTCTCGTTTTAATATAAATTGAAATCTATTTGTAAAGAAGAACTTACAGCAGCCAAGCCCTTTTTGAATTCCAGGTTAGAGTTGTCGACGCGGCGGTAGAGTTTCCTGAAGGAGGGGAAGGCAGCGGTACGCATCCAGACGATGAGATCCTCGTTCTCATAGCCCGTGTTGTTGGGCGGCGAGCCGAGCTTAAAGACGGGCTTCGTCCAGTACAGGGGCTTTACCGTGTTCTCGAAGGCTGCATGAATGTGAACGGTTAATTGATAATTAAAAAAATTAAGACAAACAATAAATAAAAACGTTTAATTACTCAAAAAAGCTCGAAGACGGCCTTCGTCCAGTACAGAGGCTTCACCGTGTTCTCAAAGGCTGCATGAGTGTAAACGGTTAATCACTCAAAAAATCATGACGAGCATAAAATAAAAACGGTTAATTAATCAAAAAAGGTCAAAACGGGCCTCGGCCAGTACAAGAGCTTCACTTTTAATCTCGAAAGCTACAAGAATAAAGACGTTATAGGAATAAAAAAGGTCAAGGCAGGCAAAAATAAAAACGTTTTATCGCTACAAAAGTTCAGAATGATTTCCTTTAGTACAATGGCTTAACCGTATTAGCAAAGGCTGCAATAATATAAACATAATTAAAAATAGTTAAGAGTTAGTAACTTGGTTAGCCAATAACTGACGGCTTTTCAAACAGAATTCACAAATCACAGAAGAGAGATCAGTTGCTACGTATGATTAGGCTACTGCGTGTAGTGTACTAAGGCCGCTACGTGCAATTCGTCCGCTACGTGTACTTAGGCCGCTACATGTTTTTAGTCCACTACGTGTACTTAGGCCGCTACGTGTACTTAGGACACTAGGTGTTGTATTTAGTCCGCTACGTGTACCTAGGCTGCTACTTGAAGTAGTGACGCTTCGCGCACTCAACAGAGTTTTAAAAAGTACGACCCAGCACACTAAAATATTCGCTGAATTTCAGTACAAAGTACATATTAATAAAGATAAATGGTATAAAAGAACCCACCTCCACCTTCCTTGTCATCGAGCGTCTTGCCGGGAGGGTTCTTGAACTTGATATTCTTGTCTGAGTCCCAGGCGATGTTGTCGCCTCTCAGAGGCACTTCTTGTTTCCCTTTTTGGCTATCCGTGAAGTACAGTTTCAGCGAATCTGATATAATTAAACAAATTAATGTAATTGTTTCTAACTCCATGCCAAATTTTTGAGTCATTACATAGTATATACATTTTCTTTCAAATTACAGTCAAGATTCTCGTCTAAAATTCGAATTGTCTTCTAAATTTTAAGAAACGCATTCAATGCCAGGCGTTCAAGACCCACTGGTACACAAAGGTAAAAAATTGTGGCTAAAAAAGAGGTCCGTAAAAAGAAATTATAGCGCGGAAAGAGGCTTGCAAATGGATACTGTCGCCCGAAATAAGGCACAGAAAAAAATATTTGCCAAAATAAGGCCCGCAAAAAGAAATGGCGGCTAGAAAAGCGGCCTGCAAAGAAAAATTTCCTCTGAAATAAGCCCAAAAAACAAAATGGGTGCCAGGAAAGGAAATTGTCTCTCGCAAAGAGGCCCGCAAACGGAAAATATCGCCCAAAATTATGCCACGAAAAAAAAATGTTTTCCAAAATCAAGAAGCACAAGGACGTGTCTTCTAATTCCTGACCGTTGAAGAAGGAGTTAGCGATGGCTCCACAGGGCGCGTAAATTCTGCTTCTGTTGTCGCGGTCGAAGGGACTGCAGTCGGACACGTCCGTGACCTGTTTGCCCGCCAGCTGCTTGTCGTCCCGAGACTTGACGTAGCGACGGTGGTTCTGGTAGTAGTTGTCCAGCCCGTAGTACATGAATACCTGCGACACGTAGGTGGGTGATTAAAAGTGAGTGGTAGGTACTGGTGGGTGAGTACCTGCGACAGGTGAGGGTAGGTAAGTGCCTGTGACAGGTACGTAGAGTTTTTGTGTGCCTTATGGCTGAATGGTTAGGGTACGTGAGCATCAGCAATAGCGGTGGAAACGGAACATAAAAATACACCTCAAATCCCTAAACCAAGAAAGCGAGGATGACGTACGGTATATTAATGTGGAGGCCATACCGGTACTTCCCAATAATTGGGGAAGCCATACTCCCCAATAATTGGGTAGGCCATACGTCCCAATAATTGGGGAGGCCATACTCCCCAATAATTGGGTAGGCCATACGTCCCAATAATTGCATACTCCCCAATAATTGGGGAGGCCATACTCCCCAATAATTGGGGAGGCCATACGTCCCAATAATTGGGGAGGCCATACTCCCCAATAATTGGGTAGGCCATACGTCCCAATAATTGGGGAGGCCATACTCCCCAATAATTGGGGAGGCCATACTCCCCAATAATTGGGGAGGCCATACTCCCCAATAATTGGGGAGGCCACATTCCCAATAATGCATGCTACAACACACGAAGCCTCACCTCGTTCTCCATGGCAGTGGTGACGTTGAATTCGATGTCGCAGTAGCAAAAGTTTTCTCCGGGCACAAACTCAGGCCTCAGGATGAGGTCCTTGCACAAGAAGTGCCCTCCAAGGGGATCCCGGTGTCGTGGGTCGACGCTCGGGCATTCCGTGTAGTCCACCTGCACCTCCACCACCTGCCCGGCGCAGTGCGGAATAAATAGCAATCAATAAATCAGACAATTTTAATAACTGAAGTGCGTTTAGCGGAAAAAGGAAATTTCTGCAGTCGAAGCGCAGGAAATAGCAGTAACAAACACCTCCGTGGGAGGGCAGCACCTACAGTGTGGGAGGGGAGGCACCTCCAGCCCTTCACTGCGCTGCAGGAAAACCACCCACTGGCCCGTCACTCCGGCGGAAAAGAACCGCCCCTCGCCCGTCGCAGGATAATCGCCCGCCCGCCCCTTAACACCGTCGGAAGAAGACGCCCCTCGCGCCTAAGCTTGACAGAGGGGCACCACCCCCGGCCTTACACCCCGTCAGAGGAGCACCACCCCCGGCCTTACACCCCGTCAGAGGGACACCACCCCCGGCCTTACACCCCGTCAGAGGGGCACCACCCCCGGCCTTACACCCCGTCAGAGGGGCACCACCCCCGGCCTTACACCCCGTCAGAGGAGCACCACCCCCGGCCTTATACCCCGTCAGAGGGGCACCACCCCCGGCCTTACATCCCGTCAGAGGGGCACCACCCCCGGCCTTACACCCCGTCAGAGGGGCACCACCCTCGGCCTTACACCCCGTCAGAGGGGCACAACCTCCGGCCTTACACCCCGTCAGAGGGGCACAACCTCCGGCCTTACACCCCGTCAGAGGGGCACCACCCCCGGCCTTACACCCCGTCAGAGGGGCACCACCTCCCGCACCTCACCCCATCAGAGAAGAGCAGTAAGGCCACGCCGAGGGGTACGAAGAGAAGGCCGATGAGGAAAAAGGCTGGCAGGACAGTGTCCGCTGTCAGGATGGGCTGCCAGGCCGGCAGGCGCTGCTGCTTGAACTTCTGCTTGAACTTTGAGTCTGCGGGATGAAAAAAATAATAATAAAAATATCAGACAATGTCATGGATGTGTAACTTGATATTTAAACCTAAAGATAATTGTTAGTTAAAATGTAATGAATCAAACAATGAATGAATTTGAATTTGTTCGATTTTGAATAGACCAAGAAATACGTGTTGGTAATATATCTATTCCATTGCGAATTTTCGGTCATTGGAATCAGAATGAGGGCGCTTCTGCCTCTATTTTCTTGCTGATGATGAGATTTGGCAGCGCCCGGTGTGATTTTGAAACGGTCATATGACAACATGTGACAAGATGACACATGACTCGTGTGACAACATATGAAACAAGACTGTCACATGACAATGTTACACATGATTGTCTTGTAGCAAAATCCCACATGACTCGTGTGACAACGGTCATGAGGCTGTCATCTGACAACTGTTACAACTAAACAGATGTTCGCTGAGTACAAACTTATCACTAGCAATATGAAGTAGATGGGCATTACCTAAGTATTTCGTTATTATAATCAACGTTTTTTGCAGAAAATTGATGAAAATAGAAACTTCGTTCCTTTGTATTTGCGTTTTCGGCCGAGGTTTAACGATGAAAAAGATATGAAGAAAGAAACGAGCGATAAAAATAAGTGATTAGGTACATTCAATATGCTCGATTCTTTCCAGGATGGCTCGTTAATAAAGGTTGTTGACATTAATAGCTTCCAAATGAGAGCTGCAAAGAATACTACAAGAGCTCCAAAGAGTACTACAACAGCTTCAGAAAGTACCTACAATGAGAGCTACAAAGAGTGATGCAAGAGCTACACAGACTAATAGTACAACAGCTACAGAAATAACAACGTACCACAAATAGAAGTATCACCAACGGATACACTACGTACAGTACGCAGGTCTGTGAGCTGTGCTTAGAATTAATTGCTTCACACAATAGCACATACATTACACATCGACCTTATTACATCACACATACACCTAACCGACGAATGAAATTCACGTCACATACACCCCACCCCGCCTCACACATCCCGGAAGTTTGGGACAAGCTTTACTGGCTAAATGAGAAGTCGGGATTCATTTATGCCGATGAATCAATTTTATCAGGGTATAGAATAAATAAAATGATATAATGCGCAGGAATGATGCAATGACCGACTGTTCCTGAGAGGCAAAGACATGATACAGTGCATGTATTACCGAAAGCACAAAAAGCGGTAAGTAGGCGGCATATAAATACGGTATAAATGCGATAAACAGCGGGGCAAATTTTTAGATGTGAGGCACAATAACTGTAAACAGGGGAGGAAATTGAAACATGTAAGGCACAATAACTGTAAACAGCAGAGGAAATGGAAATAAGTGGGCACAATAACTGTAAACAGCGGAGGAAATTGACATAGGTGAGGAATAATAACTGTAACAAGCGAGGCATAATAAATGTAACAACTGGACAAAATTTATAAAGGTATGGCATAACAGTGAATAACAGCAGTAAAACGTGATATAACTGCGGTATGAAAGAGCGGCAGTAAAGCGCGGAAAAACCATGCGAAACGTTTGGAAATGGCTAATATTACGTACCTATTAGTAAGAAACTGCGATGAAGAGATTGAAATATATAAAATAGTTTTAAAAAGGGGGTGAAGAGGGGATTATTTTGGATTCAAGAGGGGATGAGAAAATTGCAAAATAATAGTTTAAAAAGATAAGAATGGGGAAAATACGACAAAATAGCACGAAAAACACATAAATTATTTCGGGTGCATGTGGCATCAAGGAATCCCTATATAATAGCGAGAGATCCTACACATGCTTCTTCAGTAGTGTTGGAGGGCTGCGGGCGTATATATAGGGCAAGCAGTTAGTGATATAGGTTGGAGACAATTTCAGTGTGTGAATTTTTGCATCTAATTTGCATGCCACGGCGTGTTATACTTGTCGTAAGGGCAACTCAGTCCTACGACGGGACTGCCACAGCAAGTCACGTGTCGTAAGAGCAACTCAGTCCTACGACGAGACTGCCACAGCAAGTCACGTGTCATAAGAGCAACTCAGTCCTACGACGGGACTGCCACAGCAAGTCACTTGTCGTAAGGGCAACTCAGTCCTACCACGAGACTGCCACAGCAAGTAACGTGTCATAAGAGCAACTCAGTCCTACGACGGGACTGCCACAGCAAGTCACTTGTCGTAAGGGCAACTCAGTCCTACAACGAGACTGCCACAGCAAGTCACGTGTCGTAAGGGCAACTCAGTCTTACGACGGGACTGCCACAGCAAGTCACGTGTCGTAAGAGCAACTCAGTCCTACGACGGGACTGCCACAGCAAGTCACGTGTCGTAAGAGCAATTCAGTCCTACTACGGGACTGCCACAGCAAGTTACGTGTCCTAATGTCGTAAAAGTCGCCCAGTCCTACAAAGTTTCCCAGTCTCAGTCACCACATCGCGTACCTAATTTCCTGCGCCTCTCAGCGGCGGCTTTAGACTCGGCCTCGAGGATGCGGGAGTGCAGGTCCACCACCTGCCCCTGCAGGTTGACCACCTTCCTCTCGAGGGCCTTGACGGTGTTGCCCCGCGTCACCCCGCCCACCGGGGTGTCCCCGCTGTCCGTGGACAGCCCCCGCAGGGCGGACCGGATGTGACCCCGGATTGAGCTCATGGAACTCATGAGGCCAAAACTCGGTCCGCAAATGCGGATCACGCGTTTTCAGATTAATTGAAAATCATGGACGGATAACAGATGGCGGATGGGTTACACTTACGGAAGAGATCATCAGGACCTCATGAATATATAAACTTTAGAGAAAACCGCGTTATTTAACCGGTAATTTTGGTTGAATATACGTTCAAATCGTAATTCCACGAGTATATGAAACTAAATGATTATTAATTGTAATTAAATGTGAATACGACGCTTAATATTATAAAACCGGAGCTTCAGCTTCCGCGTGACGTTTAATCAGCGCGAGGTACAAGCTGCGCACGGCGCGACGTCCACACGAACACTGAGCCGACAGAGCACACGAGCGCTGGTCGCCTCAGGCATGAAGTTCTGAAGGCCTAGGAGGAGCTCGAGACAAACTTCTGAAGGCCTAGGAGGAACTCAAGACAAACTTCTGAAGGCCTAGGAGGAATTCAAGACAAACTTCTGAAGGCCTAGGAGGAACTCAAGACAAACTTCTGAAGGCCTAGGAGGAACTCAAGACAAACTATCTCCAATTTTTTGCTAAAAAATGTTACTATTCTTTACCAAAACTCAATAATTTTCTAGTGACAACAGAATGGGGTGTGGCGAGGGAAGGTAGAGGGGAAATTTACCTGCTTCTAGAGGGGACTAACCAGAGGGAGCACGTGGGGGTCGAGGGAACAAAGGGACGCGCTCTGCCATTAGGGAAAAGGGCGATCTATAGCGAGGGCAACAGCGAGGGAAGGCTGGGCCAGGTAGCATGACCCTTACCCTTACTCCTCTGATCCTTACCCTCACTCCTCTGACCCTTACCCTCACTCCTCTGACCCTTACCCTTACTCCTCTGACCACCCTTACTCCTCTGATCCTTACCCTTACCCTTACTCCTCTGATCCTTACCCTCACTCCTCTGACCCTTACCCTTACCCTTACTCCTCTGATCCTTACCCTCACACCTCTGACCCTTACCCTTACTCCTCTGACCCTTACCCTCGCTCCTCTGACCCTTACCCTTGCTTCTCTGACCCTTACCCTTGCTCCTCTGACCCTTACCCTTACTCCTCTGACCCTTACCCTTACTCCTCTGACCCTTACCCTCGCTCCTCTGACCCTTACCCTCGCTCCTCTGACCCTTACCCTCGCTCCTCTGACCCTTACCCTCACTCCTCTGACCCTCACCCTTACTCCTCTGACCCTTACCCTTACTCCTCTGACTCTTACCCTCGCTCCTCTGACCCTTACCCTCACTCCTCTGACCCTTACCCTCACTCCTCTGACCCTTACCCTCACTCCTCTGACCCTCCAGTGCATGCAGCACTACATGGCAGCATACAGCACTACATGGCAGCATGCAGCGCTACATGGCAGCATGCAGCACTACATGGCAGCATGCAGCACTACATGGCAGCATGCAGCACTACAGGGCAGCATGCAGCGCTACATGGCAGCATGCAGCGCTACATGGCAGCATGCAGCACTACATGGCAGCATACATCATAACATGTCTCCCAGCATCATCATGCAGTACAGCATTAATATCAGTATCATGGCACGACGGCAGTGGTTACAGTTCAGAGTATACCATCTTTCGATCAGAGAGTTGCGGGTTCGGAACCAGCTCTGTGCGGCAGTTTCTGGTCGAAATCGGTGGAAACCGAGCGGTTAAGCAACGCAAGATAGGAGTAGTGAGTTGCGTGTTCGAGACCGCAACATGCTGTGAATGTTCAGCTATGTTAAGAATCAGCGACAGGCCTACGGCCTAATGAACGCTGAACCCGCTATCAATATTATATCATGATCACGAATGGCACCATGCAGCACTACATGGGTATCAGAATCATCATGCAGCACTACATGATCATCACGATCATCATTATCACGCTTAAGTACAAAGTACAAGGACATGTCACGGAAAAATGCACACCGCGGGGAAAGCATCGCTTTTACTGCACTCTCGAGTTTGGCGAGCGACGGTCAGAAGTGCACGCAAAAAGGATGGAATGCACGTAATTAGCAGCACGTACTGGTAACTTACAGCACCTAACTGGAAACACGTAACTTACAGCACCTAACTGGAAGCACGTAACTTACAGCACCTAACTGGAAACACGTAACTTACAGCACCTAACTGGAAGCACGTAACTTACAGCACCTAAATGGAAACACGTAACTTACAGCACCTAACTGGAAGCACGTAACTTACAGCACCTAAATGGAAGCACGTAACTT